AAAAAAAAAAAAAAAGAAAATCCACGGGAAAAAGAAAAAAAAAAAAAGGAAAAACCCGACAGAAAAGGAAAGACAGATGTGTGCCTATGAATAACCTTCCAGCGCCTTGGTTATATCAGCTGTATTTCAGGTGAATCTGTTTTACAATAGACTAGTTTTGCATTTTTAAAGACTTATATAGCGTTTTTAAATGTCTGAGGTGTTTTACTACAAACTGTACACAATATTTGTGACCTAATTTGTATCGAATTGATCAGTCAAAACGTTTCTCCCTTCCCCACGCACCGGCAATGTCACCCAGCGGGGCCGGGGCAGGGCGGCCGCGGCCCTTCCTCCCTCCCCGAGAGGAGACGGGGTTCCCCTCCGCGCCCGCGGAGCCCCGCGCACCCGCCTGCCGCACGCACGGCTGTGAAGAACAGGCTTATTCGTTGCAGCTTTTCTCTGCCTTTTCAAGAACTTCCCAACACCGTAAAACGGTCGGGTTACAATCCTGACCTCCCCCCTCCTTCTCCCAAGGAAAACAAACAAAAAAAAATTATTTCTAAGAGATTTATCTGAAATTGAGCATCACAAACGGAACCGTGGCATTGGCCAGACCTTTTCCTTCCGAAGATGAGTTGGGCTTTTTGATCAGCGCCAGACTGAGAGGTCTGTAGTAAAACACCTTTATACTTCTGCGCTTTGGCTTCGGAAATCAGTTTCTCTGTATTTTGTTTCGATAGTGAAGAGGAATGAGGTGTCTCATGAATTTCGGGGGAGAGGGGGGGGACAGAAAACGCCCGCATTTGGTTCACGCTGAGCTTATTTCCGCGTCACAGGGAGATGCTGGATTTGTTGGAAAGCTTTTATATAGTAAAAAAAAAACCACAAAACAACAACAACATAAAAACAAAACGAACAGGGAGAAAAACAAAACAAAGAAAAATTCACCAAAATGCTACGACCATAACCATTTTTTCGGCACAGGGCAGTGCTGAGCTGTAACCCCCCCGCACCCCCTCCCTCCGCCCGTCCGTGGATGTGTTGTACACAAGGACGGGGGGGGTGGGGGGGTGCAACACCCACGCAGCCGCTCACGAAGAGGAGTCGCTGCCTCTGTGTGTGTGTGCGCGGCCAAGTTC